CGGCAGCGCTGGCCCCGAGGGCGCGCGGGAGCCGCCTTGGGCCTCGCTGCCGCCGTGCGACGAGCGCCGCTGCTCCACTTTCCCCCTGAGGACGCTGGTGCCGGTGACCGTCGTGTGCCTGGGCCTGTTCGCCGTCGGGGTGAGCGGGAACGTGGTGACCGTGCTGCTGATCGGGCGCTACCGGGACATGCGGACCACCACCAACTTGTACCTGGGCAGCATGGCCGTGTCCGACCTGCTCATCCTTCTCGGGCTCCCCTTCGACCTGTACCGCCTCTGGCGCTCCCGGCCCTGGGTGTTCGGGTCGCTGCTCTGCCGCCTGTCCCTGTACCTGGGCGAGGGCTGCACCTACGCCACTCTGCTGCACATGACAGCCCTCAGCGTCGAGCGCTACCTGGCCATCTGCCGTCCGCTGCGTGCCCGCGTCCTCATCACCCGGCGCCGCGTCCGCGCGCTCATCGGTGCTCTCTGGGCGGTGGCCCTGCTCTCCGCCGGACCCTTCTTTTTTCTGGTGGACGTCGAGCAGGACCCCAGCATCTACCCGATCGTGGACCTTAACGGCACTGAGCAACACACCTTCTTGTCCAGCGTGCCGCCGCCCCTCTTGCCTTCGCGGGCGCCACTGTCGTCCCCGCTCTCTGGACCTGAGGCTGCAGCGGCCGCGGCGCTGTTCAGCCGCGAGTGCAGGCCAAGCCGCGCACGGTTGGGTACATTGCGGGTCATGCTGTGGGTTACCACTGCCTACTTCTTCCTGCCCTTCCTGTGCCTCAGTGTCCTCTACGGGCTCATCGGGCGAGAGCTGTGGAAGAACCGAGATCCCCTGCAAGGTCCTGCCGCCCTGGGGCGGGAGAGGAGCCACCGGCAGACAGTCCGCGTCCTGCGTAAGTCCTGCCACTTCTCTTCCAAACTCGCCAGTCCTTGGTCAGCACCGCAAGTGGGAACAGGCAAACTGCTCGCCCTCTACCTCTAGAGAAAACCATCTCTAGTCCCCCAGGGTTCTGAGGAACCCAGGGCTCGGATCTAGTCGACAGCAATGACTTCCCAATGCTGCTGAGATCCAGGATGGGTAGCTGACCCGCCTCTGTTAGAGACTGCAGCTGTGGATTAATCACAGCACCCTTTAAGAAGACGGGTAGATTGCATTAAACTAAAATTTCATTTAGTGTTAAGTTATCCCAAAGACTGAGTGAACCATGCCCATATCAAAAAGTCAAAGATGCGTAGTCCTGTTGCAGATTTTTTTTTTTTCCCTCCAAGATAATCTGCCTCTTAAGCGGGTTTGTAAAAGGAAGGCTGCCAAAACAGCTTTTGGGAGCAATTGTTTTTTCTGGCTTATGCCCAGTCTTGAAAGCACATACATGAGCCTAACGTGAAGTTTTAAAGCAAATATCGATGCAGTTAAATACCTGGTTGTTTTTTGTCCATGCATGCAGATTTTGCTAGGTGAAAGTTTATCTAATTTATTTTGTTGCTATACTAGTGCAGGTGGATTTTTTTTTTTTTTTGCGGGGCGGGGAAGGGTGGGTATTTGATTTTTTAAATGCTTTTGCTAATGTGTCTATGTCTTGTTTTGCAGTGGTGGTGGTTTTGGCATTTGTAGCTTGCTGGTTGCCTTTCCACGTTGGCAGAATCATTTACATAAACACCAAAGATTCCCGGATGATGTACTTCTCTCAGTACTTCAACATTGTCGCTCTGCAACTATTCTATCTGAGTGCATCCATCAACCCAATCCTCTACAACCTCATTTCCAAGAAGTACAGAGCAGCCGCCCGTAAACTGCTGCTTGCAAAACGGTCCAAACCAAGAGGTTTCTGCAGAAGCAAGGACACTGGGGGGGACCCTGGGGGAGACACTGGAGTTACAGTTGGCTACACAGAGACCAGTGCTAACACAAAGACAATGGCCTAACCAGCACAGCTGAGCCAATTACAAGACTTTGGAGACAACAGGTCTGTAGAGAAATAAAGATAGAAAGTGGGGTATGAATGCTGTTTAAGAATGAGAGTTGTTGAAATTTTGCAAGTTGGTTAGAAATTGTTGGCATGATTTTTTTTAAATCAAAGTATAAAATGTATCTGTACCAGTTATTACAGGTTCCCTTTCATATATCTGTATTCACTTTAGCATCATGAAATCCCACATCTATAGTGTGTCTGGAAGAGGTTTTCTAAGTCTTCATTCATTCTACTCTGGGAATAAGATCAATCATTTTATAGTTAAGTGATAGAGCAATGCTGCCTAAAAATTGTCACCTCTGAGATCAGGGGTGTATTTGTTCTGTTTGGGATATAAATATACATATACAAGGAAACAGGATGATGAGTTTGGATCCAAGAATTATTTAATACCTATATATGGTATATTTAATACCTATATATGGCCATATGTACCATATATGGCTTTGTGAAAAACTTTTAAAAGTAAGAATTTCAGGTAGACTCCAATGTTCAGGAGTCCCACCTCTCAACAGACTGGGAGCAAAAAAAAGTTTTGGCTAAATGTGCTCTTTGAAAACTGCTATGAATAAAACCAGTGCAACCCACTTTTCCCTGGAACTGCCTATGGGGTTGTACTAATGCCACTGGCCTTGAAGTAGCAAAGTTGGGCACAGAGACAAGAGGACAGAGAGCTTGGCCTTCTGAGATGACTACTGATGAGCTTTGAAAAGAACTTTAATCTACCTTCCTTTGCCTCAGCCTATTTGGATGAGAATTGTCATCATCCCTGTTTTACTAGTGACAGAACTGACTCTCTAGGATGGCTTGAGTCTGAATCCAGACTTTAAAATACTCACCCACCCTCAATGAGATTGTAATTGTTGAAAAAACATACAGGTTGCTTTGTGAAAGAGAATGCATTGGACATTCTAACGAACAATTCTGAAACTTTGATTTTTTTACAGTTTAAAACATAAATGTTCCCAGCAGCTCTGGAGGATGAGGCAGGAAGATCACAAATTCAAAGCTAGCTTTAGCAATTTAGCAAGGCCCTAAGCAACTCAACGAGACCCTATCTCTAAATAAAATATTAAAAAGGGACTCATGTGGCTCAGTGGTAAAGTGCCCCTGGGTTCAATTCCCAGTACCTAAATAAATGTGTTTTCAGAAGGCTGTTGCTGTTTCACACAGACAGGGCCTCATCAGCCTCAGTCTGTATAAATGGCGCCCCTGTAAGTGGGCAAAGCCTGACTTGCTCAATTGTACTTGGGTTCCTTTTGGGGTTGATAAAGTTCATCCCTAAGTTACAGTAGATTGTTGATACTTATTACGGATTTTTATTGAGATGTTCATGAACCTTCAAATCCACAAATATCAAAAGAGTGTCGAATGCTGTAAAATAGAACTTCATCAGTTATAGTGACAAACAGAAGTAAGGTCTCAATGGGATTCAGAAGCTGGAGAGTTAGCTCAGTTTACTCGCTAACTTGAGGACTTTGCTTCACAGCTCACAGTTTGGGCAGCCTCCATTTCTAAATTGCTTCAGGTCCCACAAATCATTATGGTCTGTTTTGAATAGTTACAACTAAAAATGATGAATACATAACAACCAGGGTCTTCTTGACAGGCTGACAAAGTTCTGTTGCTTTTTTGTTTTATTAGCCAAACACAAGTTCAGCATCTTGACTCCCTGGCCTGTCCTCAATGTGTGCAGGAGTGAAGCCTCTTCCCTGCCTTTGATCCCTGCTAGTGAGGAAGCAGCCCCTCCACCAACACTCCCCAAGTGACAGTGTGACCTAATGATTCAAAGACTGATTTCTTCATTTATTTTATTTGTATTTTTTAGTTGTAAATGGATGGACAATATCTTTTTATGTATTTATTTTTATGTGGTGCTGAGGATGAAACCCAGTGCCTCATATATGTGAGGTAAGCACTCTACCACTTAGCTACAGCCCCAGCCCTTCTTCACTTATTTTATCACAGAGCCAACTCCCCACCTTCCTTTCCAGGAACACCTGTTGAAACCTCACAGAATGAGGCACAGTGTTGGGGGACCAGGCTTGGATTTGGGGATCTCCTGGCAGAGAGCCAGCCTGTGCTGCTACCACTGTCCGCATGATAGCCCTGAGTCAGGATGAGCTGGAGCTCTCTGCTCACAGGAATCCCTCTCTGGAGCAGTCAAAAGCGGACTTTTCCCCAGGAGAGATCACAATGAAGAACCTTAAAGATAATCAAAAAATATTGTAGATACAGAAGCAAAGACTTTTCCTTTGAGCTTTCTTGTTCAAGTTCTAGAAAGCAGCGATTTATACCACAGTCTTCTGAGACCTAAGTATATTCCCAGGTATGGGTATGGGGAGGATCACCCTGACCTGCACTGCACAGTCCCTGTCCAGGAGAACTGGAAGCCTATCTTTCCTGCAGGGTCCCTGTCTGGTCTCAACTTGTTCATGAAATTTGAAATCATTTGTAATGGTCGCTTTTTCTGCAAAACAACAGAGTGAATAAGAACAGAATAGAAAAATATCAATGCATCACATGTTGGTTGGTTTCTTTCCTGGTTCACAAAATAAAACATATCTTTACTGTAAGTCATGGTCAAAAATTTGTTTGAAAAGTTGTTTTGAGATCTAAAATTGTTCTCCACACTGGCAGAGGGTCTGTTCTTGCACTGACAACTGTCAATAAAAGGAAGGTATTGGGAAGACCCAGAGTGGTCAAGTCAAGTGTCACTGGAGAGAGACAATGAAGCTGTGGATTACTGTCCTGGTCTTCCTTCTCCTTCCTGGGCATGTCATGGAAGCTGTGCCCTGACACTCCCTCCACCCTGACTGAGACCTGTGCTGGCATTCCAGCAACTTATCTGAGCCCCTTTCCCTTCTATAGGCCAAACCATTTTTGTTAGGAGAACTGTCAACCCTTGTGGGAGAGTTTGTTATTTCATTCATTCGCAGGGCAAATATTTACCAAGCAACTGCTAAGTGCCAGATGTGTAGGACAAAATACTCTAGAAAAATTAGTCCTTGCCATGGTGTCAAAATCAATCAACTTTTTAATGGCATTTTTTTGTTTGAAATGTGTCATTGTGTCACCTAGACCAAACACAGATTCAGCTTACAGGTTAATAAAAGCACTTACATCAGATGGAAGCAGAATATCAGGTTCCTCCTCTTTCACATAGAAGACATTTGCACTTCTGCAGGAAATGTTCTCAGAGCTATTGTACAACACCTCCTCACATCCAAGGGACCCCTGTGCCAGGTTCACAAGAAGCCACAGAAGCCATGTGTCAATGGTGTTTGAAAGTTTGAACATGCCCTCTACTGACCCTTTCTACTCATGTCATAACATTTGCCAGTGTATGGAAGTGTTTTGTATTTAAGTGTTAGTGGTTGCACAAGTGTAGAGGTTTAAAAGGGCTTTACTTAAACACAGATGCTATGCAATTTTTAATTGGGAATGTACTTTCTAAAGATTCCAAAACTCTATACACTACAGAGCCCCCAGCTCAGCCCTGAGCAGTCTTCAAAACCCAACATTTCCTTTCCCAAGAGCACAAGAATATTTGTGCTCATTGAGCCCTATGGGAATGCTGTGTGGGCAACTACTCACCCATCCCTCACCCTGTGTAAATTACAGAGGAGGTGAGAGAACAAGGCTCTTCTCATTACCTCCTTAGAAAAACAATTCACTTTTATTTTTCTGTGCTGAAGATCAAAACCAGAATCTTGCACACACTAGGCAAGCATCTACCACTGAGCCACAATCCCAGCCCATGACACATACTTTTTAAAGAAGATCAGACACCTAGCTGAGTGCTATAATCCCAGCCACTCAGGAGGCTGAGGCCAGAGGATAGCAAGTTGGAGGACAACCTGAGAAATTTAGCAAGACCTTGTTTCAAATAAAATTTTATAAGGGCTGAGAATGTAGCTCAGTGATAGAGCACTTGCCTAGCATGTGTGAGGCTCTGGGTTTGATAGAGATAGGTAGATGATAGGTAGGTAGACAGATGATAGATAGATAGATTAGGCACCTATGTGAAAAGAGCTGAAACTCATCAGCTAGATCAGAAGAACTGAGCCTGGGCAGTCAGGGTGATGGTCTGTGGTCCTTCTTACCCACTTAACAGGTTTCCTTGCAGGTGACTGTTTCCACTGGTAATGATCCCAAAAGACAAAGGCCAGGTGTTCTTTTCCAGTCTGCCTCTCTTATTGAGGTGAATAACTTGCACAGAGCTCAACTGCTAGTGAGGGAACGAGGTCTTCACCTCAGTGGATGAATAGAGTAAATGAACAGATAACTGCGGCCTTTGTTCTGAGCCATCGGACAGCACAAATAAAAGGGTAAGACAGGAGTGACCCAGCACACAAGAGGAGCCAGAGCTGCTGCATGGAACCAAGGAAAGGCCTCCAGGGAGGAGGAGAGGAAGGAGAATGCACTGATTAAATGGGAGCAGCAGGCGACAGGAGGCTGGGGCCCGGAGACCAGTTTGGACTAGCCACTTGCCCACAATCAGGGGCTAGGACACTTGTGGGGTAGAGCAAAGCTGGATTTTCAGTTTTACAGCTTCAGCACCTCCCAAAGCCCTTTCCCCATCCTTATGCAGCCCAAGATGTTCCAGTGCCTCCCACCTGAACCTCTGTACCACCTACAACCCCCCCTCCCCATCCAAGGCCCAGCTAGGCCCTTCAAGGAAAGGACCATGGTTTTGTATTTCCTTTCTTTCGGCTCTACAGTGTGCATGCAAGTCTAAAATGTTCTATGAATTTCTACTACTTGTTGTGATAAGGGAAATAAATAAGATTTTAAAATTTTTCAAAAACTAATACCTGTAGGCTGGAGTTGTAGCTCAGTGGTAGAGCACTTGCCTACCAAGTGTGAGGCACTGGGTTCAATTCTCAGCACCCCATATAAATAAATAAAAATAAAGATCATTGACAATTTTAAAAATATTTTAGGGGCTGGGACTGTAGCTCAGTGGCAGAGCACTTGCCTAGAATGTGTGAGGCACTTGGTTCTATCCTTAGCACCACATAAAAATGAAACAAATAAAATAAAGGCAAGCTGTCCATCTATAACTATAAAAAATTTTTTTTAATATTTTTAAAAGCTAATACATTCAAAGTTGTAACAAGTCTTTTAAAAGTTTCAGACGCTGGGGATGCGGCTTTGTCTTAGAGCACTTGTCTAGCATGCTGAGGACTTGGATTCAATCTTGGGGAGAAAAAGAAAAAAAAATCACTGTAACAGTTATGCCCACTCATAATTGGACACAAATAAGACTAATCCTGATCTTTCTTCTTACTGTCTTCTTCCACAAATAGTTCATTACTTTGTCTTTATAGTGACTCTAAGTGCCAGCCCCTCTCAGGCTTTTTATTCCCCACCCTCATTCACTAGATCAGCAGTTCTCAAACTTCAGTTCATATCAGAATCACCTGGAAGACTTGTTAAAGCTCAGATTTCAGGGCTTCTCCCAGAATTTCCAATGTAGTAGGTCTGGAGTGAGACCAAGAATTTGCATTTCTATCAAGTTCCCTTCTAGGTGATGCTGATTCTGATGGTCTGAGAGCCTCTAGGATAGATTCTTGCTGCAGAACATGGAGTCCACAGTCCGATGAGGCATTAGCATCTTCTGGGAGCTTGTTAATATGCAGATTTTCAAATTTGTACTTCTGTCCAGTTTGTAGACGCTGTGGTCTGGCTAAATTGCCCAGGCTTGCCTTGAACTTGCCATCCTCCTGATTCAGCTTCCCCAGTCACTAGGATTACAGGTATTATTAGGTATGTGCCATCACATTCAACTTGGGACCATGCTTTGAGAACCACCCATTGAAGTGTTAGGAGGAGGTGACTCCAACAAGGAGAACACTTACAGAGATAAAAGGAAAGGCTTAGGGACACACTCTAATGATCCCAGGCTGGCTACAAAAGTTGCTAAGCAGGCAGAAGAAGCAGAGAAGGAAAAGGAATGTATGGAATGCAATCCAAACAGAGTCTCAAGCAGGTTTGGGGGCCATCTGGTACTTGATTCCAGATCAGCAATGACCAAGAACACAAAGAGAACAAAGTAAGGTTTCTAGGCAAACTACAGAGCACAAAGTTAAATTTCCAATAAGCAACACTTTTTTTTTTCTTTTAAATAACTAAACCCAAGGGAAACCACATACATGGGAACCCGAAAGGAGCTTGGCCATGACTGTGCTGCCCAGGCCCAACTGGCATTCTGGGACTAAGAGATTGGAAGAGTTTGGGGAAGTGGGCTTGCCAGGCCTTCCTACCTCATAGGAGCAGAAACATGCCCTGGACATTCTTACCCTGCAGCACATTAATCTATGTGACACCTTGTTTACTTTTCTGAGGACACCACTTGGGACAATATATGGAAAGCCTGAGTAGTCATTTCTCTCAGGCAGCACTGCCTTCCATAACAGAGTACCTGTTCCCTGCAGGGCATCTGGAGTTTGTTCCAGGCTTCTCTGCTTCCTCAGGATTAAGTGCTGCCAGAACTGCCTTCTGAGAGTTGTTTAGGAAGTCTTCATTTCTGGATTCAGGATGCTGTTTATGGTCACAGTTTTGCCCGAAAGAACCAAATTGAGGTCAATCTCCTGTCATTGTGGTTGAACTGGCCACCAATCATTCAGGTACAGGCAAGCTACTGCACTTAGGGGACTAGCTCAGCTGCTGCCATCTTGGAGCCCCACATTGGTAGATGGAGGGTCCACATAGGAGTGGCAGCCAGAGTTCCAGTGTGTGGGAAGCTGTCGGGTGTCCTGCGTGGGAGTGGCGTCCTTGATTTCTGCTGGGGTGGGTATCCGAAAGTTCTGCGCAGGTGCTGATGATCCTTATTTATTTATCTTTTTGTGGTGCTAAGGAACAAACCCAAGGCCTCACACGTGCTAGACAAGCACTCTACCACTGAACTACAACCCCAGCCCCGATATCTTTTTATTTTGAAAGTTTAAGACTCAAAAGAAGTTTCAAAATAATATGTTCCTGTGCACTCTTCCATAGCTTCTGGAATCATATATTACATCATCTTCATATAGTGGGAAAACCCAGGAAAATGACATTAGTACAATACTATTAATTCAGATATAGATCTTATTTGGATTTCGATAGTTTTTGTTTGTTTGTTTTGTTTTGTTTTGGTTTTGGTACTAAGGATTGAACCCAGCGGCACTTTACCACTGAGCCACATCCCCATCCCTTTTTAATATTTTATTTAGAGATAGGGTCTCCCTAATTTTCTGAGGCTGGCTTTTGGTTCTCCTGCATCAGCCTTCTGAGTCTCTGGGATTACAGGTACGCCACCACACCCTGCTTGGATTTCAATAGTTTTAATGAACTTTTTTTAGTTTCAATTGTAAATAGTTCTATGAAATTTTATCACATATGTGTAGAAGTCACCATCAACTCAAAGAAAGTACCTCTTATTTTTCTTAATAGTCATACCTTTTCCCACCCATAATATTTATGATCACAGATCTGAACTTTATCAGTCATAATTTTTTTTTAACTTAGGGAATGATTTCTACATGGATTCAGACAGAATGTAACACTTTCAAGTTGGCTTTTTACACTCGGCACAATGCACTTGAGATTCATCCAAGTTGTTGCCTGGATTGATAGCACATTTCTTTTTATTGCTTAATAGTGTTCAATTGCAATGTTCCCCATTCACTCACTGAAAACTGTTTGTACAGTTTTTTACTATGGCAAATGAAATCACTCTGATATTCATGTATAGTCTTGTGTGAACATGTTCTTATTTTTTCTAGGATAAATAACCAGCAGTGTAATTTCTGTGTGGTAAAATAAGTATATGTTTAACTAGAAACTGTCAAACTGTTATCTAGAGTGGCTGTGCCATTTAATATGATCACCAGTAATGAATGAAACATCCAATTGCTCTGCTTCCTTTCTAGCATTTGATACTGTCTGTACTTCTGATTTTATCCATTCTAATATGTCGCATTCCAGGACTAAAACACTCAGGGTCACTCCAGGTGAACTGGGATGCATGTAATAATCACACAGAGACAGAAATACTTTTTTTTGGGGGGTCCTGTGATGGCTCCTCTGACCTTAGGGGTCTGCTGTGGAGAGAGAGAGAGAGAGAGAGAGAGAGAGAGAGAGAGAGAGAGAATATGTGTTGAACCTTTTTTGGGGGGAGAAGCCATTCAAATGAGGCAAGGGGTCAGGTTTCAGGGGGTTGAGTCTAGCTTCATGATGTCTGATGTCAGCAGATTGACTAACATCTATGAAGGCCATGCCTATCTCATGAGCTATGTGGGGATCATAGTAGAGCAAATGAAAAGACCACAGCAAGGCTCGCCCAAACAGAGGGGCAACGTTGGTTCAGTCCACTTTGTGCCCTCAATGCTCATCATTCACACACACAGACCATGGCTGGCTTGCCAACATCTCCACATTCTCATCACTCAAGGCTAAGGGGAACTCAGTTCCTATGTGGCAGCTACCGACACTAATAGGTATGTAGCAGGGTCTCATCATGATTTTTAAATGCATTTTCCTAATGGCTAATGACAGCGAACGTCTTTTCCTGTACTTATTTGCCATTTTAAAAATCTTTGATGAAGTGACTATTTAAGTCTTTTATCTATTTTTCTAATTGAACTGTTTATTGATTTACTCTTGAGTACAGAGTTCTTTACATATTGGGGATACAATGAGTCCTTTATTGTATATGTGATTTGCAAATATTTCTCCTAGCCCATGGCTTGTTTTTAAAAGCATGGTGTAAACAGCCATGAAGGGACTGTAGAGAAAAGCCAGACTCCAGGAAAGGTGCAGAGTCAAAATGAAGTCCCCGATATAGTCAGTTTATCTGAAGACCTTTATCCTCAGAATAGGCAAACTATTAAAAAAAATTCTACACAGTCAAAGAAATAAGTAGCAAGTTGAAAAATAGATCTGAAGATGTTGACCAGGATGTAGCTCAAAGAAACAGAGAAATGAAAAATTTCTTAACTCAGATGGTTAAACTACATCTAATTAGAGTTCTAGGAGGATAATTTAATGGAACATGTAGTGATTTAAATTAAATTAGTTAAAACCAGATAAAGTTAAAAATTCAGTTCCTCAGTTACACAAGTACTTTCAGGTTCTCAGTAGCCATATATGCTGGTGGCTTCCATCCTGGAAAGTGCATATCACAGAACATTTCCTTTATGGCACAGTTCTATTGAGCAGTGTTGATCTAGACCATAAAACATGTCTGAACAAATTTCAAATAACTGGTGTCATACAGATCATATTCTCTGGTCATAAACTTTACATTAGAAAGCAATAACAGTAACTTTTTTTTGGAAAAAAAATGCCCACTTTACATCTGAAATCTTAAAAAAAAAACATTTCCTATGAGTTATTACTCATAGGTCAAAGAAATCACTGGGACATTTAATACATTAATACTGATGGATAAAGAACTTATGAAATCCTACTTAGATGGAAATTTTATCCTGAAATGCCTATGCAAATAATAACTCTAAAAATTAAGAAAGCTCAGAGATAAAATGATTGGGTTATGGGAGCCTTGACCTAACCAGTGCATTAATCTACCTGAATGGATTAACTGATTGATAACCACAGACAGGTAGGGTGTGGCTGAAGGAGGTAAGTCACTGGAGGTTTGCCTTTAGGGTATATATTTTGTCCCTGATGAGCACAGCTTTCTCTTTCTCTGCTTCCTGGTGGTCATGTCCTGAGCTGCTTTCCTCCACCACACTCTTTTTCTATGATGTTCTGCCTCACCATGGGCCCAGAGCAATGGAGATAGCCTACTGTGGACTGAAACCTCTGAAACAAGTTGTTGAAGCAAGGAGCTGGTCCAAATGTTCCTCCACTCAAATAAATGGTGATACTGTATAGTAGTGAAAATCAATGAACCACAGCCACATCCTCAACACTGAAAAGATTCTCACTTTAGTTCTTTCAAAATGATGGATTTTCACGTTTAACTTTTGCTTTCATAGTTTGAACTCAAAAGTTTGTGTCTTGCTACACATCCGTATTTCAAATTGTATAAGGCGAGATGTTGACAGAAACTGGGCTCTGAGTCACTGTAAAGAAAGGGGCCTAATTCTGAGTCACGTCTAGGGCACTAGAATGTTTTGGCATAAAGCCACAATTCCAGGCTACTCCTCAGATTTTCCAGAGACCACTCGTTCCTCCCTCCTCCCTTCACATTTTTTCCCCAGTTGGAGTTCTTCTCTCTTTATGTTCTGGATAAGAAACAGAACGTCCCCGCTGTGTTCCGTGGCCCTACAGTCCCCAAGGCCCGCCAATCTCTGATCAGAACAACCTCCTGGGACGCCCAACTCCTAATTCCTTTTCACCCGCTCAGGTTCTCAAAAACCAGGACCATGACAAGAGTGGGCTGGTTTCCACTTCAACACTCCTTGGCTCTCTGAGCCAAATTTTCAACTCTGCACAGCCAGTCGCCTCATCGGTCCGCGCAGCCTGGGACCTCAGGCCAAGAAATCCTCGAGTGACTTTATTTCGGCAAAATCAAAAAAAAAAAAAAGAAAGAAAAAGAAAACCAAAAAGAGACTACAAACACTTTGCAGCCCTCCGCTTCAATTCCACCCGCGATTCCCGTCCGACCCGCAGCCCAGCGCAGTCGCGGGCCTCGGCCTGACGTCATCAAGGCGCCCGGAAGTAGCCGTCAGGCTGGAGACGTCACCCGGTTGCGCCAAGTAAGATCACTGCTTACCAGTTGATGGGAGGAGGCTAGAGGGAAGCTGCTGGGTCAGGATCATGCCTAACAGAGAGAGCTTTCCCGGGCAGCAGAGGCTGGTGGGCTTGGGGTGAAAGAAGCAGGGCAGATGCAAAATCTGGAGAGCGCGGGGGCCGGGCGGTCAGTCAGCACCCAGACTGGCAGCATGACCGGTGAGTGCCGGGGTCCCTGCTTCTGCCACCCCGCCTTTGGCTTTGCCTTGCGTCCCTGCCCGGATTGAACTCCGGTTCCCTGCCTCCGCTGCTCGCCTGCCCCGCCGCTCCCGGGTGTCTCGTCCCCTCCGGATCGGCCGCTCCGGCTTCTCAGAGCAAACAAATTCTAAGTCGCGCTCATTTCCCGCGTCCAGCCTTGTTTTCCTCGAAGGATCAAGAGCTAGGACTCCAGGGGCTGAAAAGCCCGACGCTTTTATTTTGATTCCCAAAATAGCCGCGCGTGACGCTTTGCCATTTTTAGTGCAGTGTTCTGCTCACTGCTCTTGAAGCCACCCCTCATCACTGTCCAGAGAACAGCCCGCTCCACCATCACATGCAAGGACTTGCCCCAACTTTTTTTGGATTGTTCCCATAACTACGTGTATCTGTTGTGTTACTTATTTCTGCCGGGCGAGGGAAGAAGAGAATGGGTCCAACTTTGGAAAGTGTCGTGGGAGGTCGCCTCAAGTGAGGTTGTAGCGACTCCTGCCATAAAAGTTCTCCTCTTGTCGGCTAAACCCCTGCTAAAGCTACTAAGCGAATGCTGCTGTATCCAAGTGGCTTTGAGCTTTGTTCCTATTTTCATCTTTAGTAAAATTCTGAAGTGTTTGCCCTCTCCTTTGTAGGTCAAATGCCAAGACTTTCTAAAGTCAACCTTTTCACTCTGCTCAGTCTCTGGATGGAGCTCTTCCCAGGAGTAGAAGCCCCAAAGCAAAAATCTCAGGTATAATTTGTTTCTGTAGATAGTTTTTACCGTTAGAAAAGTGACCGTCTCAAATTGGATTTTATTGCTCCAGTTGCTGTCACGCTTGAAACCAAACTCTAAGTAAGCCTTTAAAACTTCATGATAGTTTGATACTTGTAACTCATAGTGGAAGCAGTTCATCTTTCTGATCTAAAAACAAAATACTCTCTCAGACTGTGCCTTGTTTATCAGGTAATAATATTTATACGTTGGTTTTACCAATATTTTGCCTATAATACATAAATTATCACCCAGTCATATCCTTTTAGTGTTTTGGCTAGTTTTCTCCCACCAAACGGTAAATTGCTTAAAGATGGAGCCCATATCTAATTTTACTTGGCATTTCCTTTAGTTGTTAATCTGTTAATGCATAGTTTATTATTTCATATGAGTCTCTTTTTTGGATTTTGGGAGATGATCAAAGCAGGATAGGAATATATAGTAAGAATAATCATAAAATCCAATATATTGGAAGCTAGTACAGCCTACATCATTTCCTTGTACTTCCTTTGGGATAACAAGGTTCTAGATTCTCATCATTTGTCTCCATGCTTGGAGTGGTGTGGTGGTAAGTTCTCACTATTTGGTTTGGTAATTTTTGATGTTTAGTGTTGTCATTAATTTTTTAGAGGGCCAAAGCCAACTTATAAAAACAATTTTAGGTTAAGTTAAGCATTTTAAGAGTTTTTAGAAAGCAGTTAAAAAGGGCAGGGGGAGAAAGGGATTGCCTCTATCTTCTCACCATTCTAAAAACATCACTGTTGACATTTCTCTTTTTTTTTTCAATATTATTTTAGTTGTAGATAGACACAATAACTTTATTTTATTCATTTATTTTTATGTAGTGGTGAGGATCAAACCCAGTGCTTCACATGTGCAAGGCTAGTGCTCTGCCACTGAGCCACAACCCTAACCCCACTGTTAATACTTTGATACTGTTAACATTTGGATACTTTTCTTCCAATCTTTTTTTAAGCTTAAGATTGTTTTCTACTCTTATAAAATTGTGATTATTTTCTGCATTGAGATTTTCAAATTGCCAATAATTCTGCTGAAAATTTGCTCTAGATTTTTTTTTTTTTACAGAAAAGCTATAAATACTTAAATTTCCACTTTACTCTTAAGAGGCCATTCAACACCACCTTTTTATTTTTTGTTTTGATTGCCTTCTTTATTGTGGCTGAAGTTGTGTGGTTAATGCTAGAGATAAAAAGAAGAAAAAAGGGGCTGGGGTTGTGGCTCAGTGGTAGAGTGTTTGCCTAACATGTGAGGCACTGGGTTCGATTCTCAGTACCACATATAAATAAATAAAATAAAGGTCCATCAAGAACTAAAAAAATGTTTAAAAAAGAAGAAAAGATATGGTCCTTATTTTCTAATGTGGAGAATAATAAGGCATTTAAATATTAAGATACAGTTATATGATGGAGCCAATTATAAATTATAAGCGAAGATGCTAACAAGGTTTAGAACCAGGCACAACATGAGAAAGTGAAGGAAGGATTCCACTATTAAGGTAGAATTTACACTGAGACATAAAGCATGAGTAGGCATTTGCTCAAATTGGAGGTTACCATGTAAATAAGCTTAGAGAAATGAATTTGTGATCCTCAGCCTGAGAGTGAAGTTGGGTGGAGGATGAGACTATAAATAAGCTTGGGAAGGTAGGTGGGAATCATGTTGTAAAAAATCTATGTATTGGCCTATGGCTGTGTCTGGGGCTCAGTGACAGAGCACTTGCCTACCATGTGTGAGACACTAGGTTCAATCCTCAGCAACACATAAAAATAAACACATAAAATAAAGGTATTATGTCCATCTACAACTAAGAATTTTTTTTAAAAGATGTAGGCATTGCAGAGGAGTTTAGATTTTATTCTATCAGTATCAGGATTGTATTTAGGAATTTTAATAGGAAGTAAGGGAATTCATCTCATGATAAAATTGTGCTTCCCCCCCCATTCTTATGGGAAATATTTTATAAATAGTAAAACAGTATTTAAAATTTTATACATTGTTATTCTCTATTTCTTAACACTATCCAGTACCCACCCTGATTTTATTAATGGTTTTGAGAAAGTTCTTCATTTCCTTCATGAATTTGGAAATTCCTTTATTTTTTCTACTTGTTTACAGCTTAATATTATTTTATAGATATAGAAGATTCCCATACTGTTTTAGATCTTTTTTGCAGATAAAATTTGTATTCAAGAGCCACAATATTAGAAGCAAATGTTTAGAGCTTTAAGACTTTAAACAGCACATTTTAGCTGAGCATAGTGGCACACACCTGAAATCCCAGCAACTCAGGAAGGTTGAGGCAGAAGAATTGCAAGTTCAAGGCCAGCCTCAGCAACTCAGGAAGGCCCCATCTCAAGATGAAAATAAAAAGGGCTGAGGATGTAGCTCAGTGATAGGATCTCTTTGGGTTCAGTCCCCTGTATTGCAAAACAAAACAAAATAAAAAAGGTACATTTTAAAAACTGGACTTGTTAGAGGTTGAATAGTAATTTTAAAGGAGCTTTTTTTTTAAAAAAAATAATATCCAGATTTGATTTTATTTTAATTCTGTTTACACACACATACGCCCCAAAATATATCCTGTGCTAAAATTAAGTTCTTTTTCAACAGACAAGCACAAGTTTTATTAAATTAGTGAATAATGATATTTATATTTCTATTAGGAAGGAAGTCATTGGCCAACTAATTACCAAACTTTGTTTGCAAATAATGTACACTCTACCATTTCCTTGTTCTTTATGGAGAAAGCTGTGAAGCCTAAGAAAATAACTGAGATAAGGCTTTCAGTTAGCATTTTGGTAAAAAAAAAAAAAATAGTAATAATTAAATTTTAGACTTAAGGAACTTCATTAGTACAGGGTTTTATATAACTTTATATCTTAACAAAGGATTGAATTTATATTTCCATGTTTCCCCTAAAAGTTATGACTTCTTCTTTCATCTGCACCATGGGAATTTTTTAAAGGAAAGAAATCAGTCTTTTAACTATTTTATTTGGAGTCTTGTTTAGAAAACCGACTTGAACAAACACCTAATCTATTTAAGGTTTTTAAATCAAAGGTCAGACATAGGAATAAGTACAAAGGGCATTGGCATCCAATAAAACAAAACTCATGCTTTAAGAATTCCAGCTGACCTAAAATAGAGTTGACTTGAACATTAGAAAGGTCATCAGTCTTACATCCTCATTCTGACCCTGCCCTGTGACTATTCACTACATTAGTGTCTTCCCAGCTGTGCCCTAGCACCTGTGTCTCCTTGACCCACAGCTGTTGAGATGGCCTCCACTTCTATTCCTCGCCTACAGGCTTAAGGACTCAGGTACTTAAACTAAGACATCCTTAGGATTATTCTAGCAGTGATAGTTTGGGTTAAATAAGCTTTTGTATGTTAGCTTGGGAACTTGACTGTCATTTTTAGCATTATTTATTTACGAAAATGTGTCTTAAATTTCAGAGAAGCAAATTTACCAAATGTTTAGAAAATCATTTTGGTTGGTTGTCAACTATTTGTTCATCTAATATCAATAAAGTAGAGGTGTATAGTAATTTCATTGGTTCTAATGTCATGACCATTGCAAAGAAGCAAGAATGACAGTGTGGAGAAGGGGTAAAATGAAAGGGAGTACATTGTGCTCCACTCCTTTTTTTTTATTGTATAAATATAAACTTAAGTCTTAATCTACATAAAAAAAATTTTAAATCATGCTTTTTTTTTTTTTTTTTTGGTACTGAGATTTGAATCCAGGAGTGCTTTACCATTTAGCTACACACCCAGTCCTTTTTATTTTTTATTTTAAGACAAGGTCTCAATCAGTTGCTGAGACTGGTTTTAGTCTTGCATTCCTGCCTCAGCCTTCCAAGTTGTACATACCACCAAGCACAGCAGAAAATCATAATATTGAAACAATAGGAATATAGCTGAAGTTTATATATCATGAATGTTACCATCATATTTATACTTGTAGAATGATACCCATTTTTTTGCCTTATTTATTTATTTATACCTGGGATTGAATCCAGGGTCACTTAACCACTGAGCCATACATATCCGTTTTTTATTTTGTATTTGCTTAGGGCCTTGCTAAATTGCTGAAGGCTGACTTTGAACCTGCGATCTTCCTGTCTTAGCTTCCCAAGCAGATTATAGGCGTGCACCACCACAGCCAGCACACCTGATACTTCTTTACCAATTACTATAGTATATTTTATACATTTGAATTGCACATAGTCTTTATAGGATTGAGTAAGAACTATTGAGAAAAAAAGATATTCTTTAAGCTAAAATAATAAGATTATTTGATTATTCTGTGTTTCACTTTTGCCATATAAAGTAAGTTACAGAAGCTCCAAGATACAATTTGACATGTGATTGTATTAGAAATACTGTTTTTGACACTTCTACCAGCCTTTTGTCTTTTTAAAAGTGTTCTTATGAGTTACCAAAGTAATATATGTTCATTATATTATAAAATGGGCAGAAGCAAAAACAGTTCCTCATAGTTCTTTTTGTTTTCTGCTTCTCAATCTTTTCTGTTTCCTTTATTCATTTGAAATCATTTAGTTCTGGATTTTTCCCTTTTCATTTAATGTAGGAAAATATGTGTAAAATTGCACTGGGGCAGTAACCATGTCTAATATTTTTAAGAGTAGCCAAGGCTTTTGTAGCCAACATGCCTGGGTCCAGATCCTGGCTCCATCTCATGCTAGTTGTGTCTTTGGATAAGCTGTTTTACTTTCCTCATCTATAAAGTGGAATGGTACTTAATACATACTATTTGGGGTTTGTATGGGAAATGGATGAGGTAGTTCATTCTCAGTAGTTCAGTGTAAAGCTTTTAGTGCTCGGTACATATTATGTTATGTACTATATGTTTTTATTATGATTTTGATAAATTGCATGTCAGTTATAAATTTTTCCAGCCTTAGTGTATTAACTTACAACCATTTCCACCCATAACTGGCGTCTGAGTTTTTCTTTGTTGTCAGATATTTACACCATTTATGGGTACTCCTTAAGAATTATTTAGCAAGATAAACATTGAGTATAAAAACTAAGAATTATGGGCTGCTATTGTGGCTCAGTGGTAGAGCACTTGCCTAGCATGTGTGAGGTACTGGGTTTGTGCTGCAGTCTGGCTGGGCACAAAATAACCAAGCCACCACACAGCCTTGTAGATTCAAACAGCAACTCTTTATTCCTGAACTCTCACCGACACTCGACACTCTACCCACACTTCCCGTGTGTTGAACACACTGCCTCCACCCGGCTCCGTGCCCCAATTCTCTCAGAAGAACTCCACTGGGAACTCCAAAGGAGCAGTGCCTGAGGCAGCAGGATACGCCCTAATCCCAGCAGGATCCACCCTAAACCCGTAGCTGCCCTAATCCCTGAGCAGGGTCACCTTTCAACCCAAAATGCCATGCGTCATTCCTACTTGGCTATGGCTCTCAGCAGGTTTGGTCCTTAGCATCACATAAAAATAAATAATATAAAGATATTGTGTCTATCTACAACTAAAAATATTTTTTAAAAAATTACCAGAAGTACAACATTAGTTACTTAGTTGGTTTTTTTGTTTGTTTTGTTTTGTTTTGTTTTGTTTAAGATTCCAGTCCAAACTAAGAAGTGATTTCAAGGGAAAGTAATTGTTTATGAGTTGTATGAGGGTAACACAATTAAAAATTATGTAGCAGAAATCAAGCACTCTAAAAATGGCTGTTATATAAAAATAATTATTTCTCTCAACTGGTTCATAATTTTTCATTTTAGTTCAAGTTATACTTATCTAAATTATTGAAGATTACCTTAAGTATAAGAATTAGAATAAATGCTATGAATTACTCTCAGATTTTGGGCTTCACCTTTCCATTGACTCTTTTTAGTCATAGTTCTTTATTTATGTCCATATCTTTATAAGAAGAAATATGTCCATTATGCTATTGATGGAGCTGAATGTGGATGGCATGTTATCAGAACAAAGGTACCTTGTCAGGTATGAAGTATGAAAAAGCTTTCACTTTTATTCTCAAATAACTTTCTCTCTCTCTCTGGAAAGAAAAAAAAAGAAAGAATTAGAATGACTACAGCCAGCTGCAGTTGTCACACACCTGTAATCCCAGCAATTAGGAGGTTGAGGCAGAAAGATCACAAGTTCAAGGCAAGCCTCCCCAACTTTGAGACCCTGTCTCAAAATTTAAAAAAAATAAAAATAAAAAGGGCTGTGGATGTAGCTTAGTGGTAAATCAAACCTGAGTTCAATCTTCAGTACCATAAAAATAAATAAATAAGAAATAGAATAATTGCATTGTTTTCTCATTTTTTCCCTATATATTTCATATTTCTCTCTCCCAGCTCTTTCCATTGTGTCCTTTGGTCCATTATTTTTATGCTAAAAAATACTTTTTCAGAACAGAACAGAGGCAGTATAGCATTTTAGATAAGATAGTGGGTTTGGGGCTAGATTCTGGCTTACCCCTTTAACTATGTGACTGGAGTTGACTTATTTAATCTCTCAGCCACAATTTCCTCATTTGTAAAGTTGTGAGAATTAAATGAAAAAATTTAGAGACTAGTACATGGTGAATACTCAGTAGATGTTAGGTACCCTTATTATCACTTACATTTTTATCACTGCTACTATCAGCCCCAGCCCACAATTCACTTCCAGCCCCATCACTTCCTCTGCTTCCTGTTTTGCTTAAACAGAAAACTTATTCCCAGGACTTGTATTTTGGTGGTAAGGCATATTGAACCCAGCAGTGCTCTACCACTGAACTATATTCCTAGCCACCCCCAC